AGTAGAATTGCCAGCAACATAAATATGACTAATAATATATTTTAAGTGTACTTGAAGGCATGTAATTATATTCAAAATGTATTTAGTTGAAGCCATAATATTGCGTTCAAATTATTTAGATTTAGGCAATTAATAAACCCACAGAGCTGTCGATATGCCATTAAACAGAATCAACTAATCAACCAACATGAAAGGACATTTTTATGACATTTACGTAATTAATATCCAACAATTTCTTGAAATCAAAGTTTATACCAAAAATTGACTTCAACAAAACTAAAGAATAAAACACATATCATCATCATCACTAGTAATCATGTCCATATAAACACATATATATGCGCAAAATCGGTGTATTATCTACCATGTATCCAATTGCGAAAGAAGAATAACATGTCATATTTTTATTAGTTTCAAGCTCCGAAGAAAATTAAATTTCGGCATTAAATGCCCCATAAGGTTTTGATATGCCGTTCAACAATCAAAACAAACAAAACACTCAGCCGTGTTAGACAATTCTTTTCACCAGAATCCATCTGACATATTTATAAATCTACTTTCCGTCTGTGCATTGAATATTAGTATCATATCTGGTCTGGTGCTTCTCCTATGCATCTGGAGATAATATCCAAATGGCCTGTCATGTTATCACTTTCCTATCGCCATGACGTGTCTTCCTTGTCTCTTTTTTCTAAATATTTTAATAGAAATTCTTCTGACGGCCTCTCCTGCTAGGTATCTTGACCGCGTTAATGCAAGCGTACTACTAGATTGGTAATTAGGTCCCATTGTTTTCAGCCAGTTATGTAGCCCAGTTGCCACCCAAGGCTATAGAACCCAGTCTGTCCTGCTATTTACCCATTTTGGGGGTGGGGAGAAGAAGAGGATTCATACCTCTCCCACGGGTATTAGCACGTAAGTGAATTTCAGTCATGTGCCATGCGTGATAGACGCTTAGGCGATCATGTAACTTTCGATACATGACTGACGAGGCAGATTTTTTCCCGTAGTAGGTTGTCATTTCTGCGGCATACCAGTTACCAGCCAAGGCTATAGAACCCGGTCTTTCTTGTTATTTACCCATAGATGGGGGGAGAAGATGAAGATTCATAACTTTCCCAAGGGTATTAGCACGTAAGTGAATGTAATGGATTCGAACAGACAGTCAGTCAGTTATGTGCCCTGCGTGTTGACGCGATCATGAATCTTTCAATACATGGCTGACAAGGCAGTTTTTTTCCACCAGTAGGTTGCCATTTCTTTTTGCGGTAGACCAGTTGCCACCCAAGTCTATAGGTGCCATCCAAGTCTATAAAACCCGGTCTTTTTTTGTTATTTACTCATAGATGGAAGGAGAAGATCAAGATTCATAACTTTCCCAAGGGTATTAGAAGGTAAGCGAATGTAATGGATTCTAATGGGATTCGAACTCGGCTCTTCGATTTCTCAATCGGTGCCGCTATTCATTACTCATCTGTTGAGATATTGGGGTGTTTCCGCGTGCGTGTATTGGAAATAAGGACAAACACATACGTAGGGAAAAATACTGGTATATTTGAAGAGGTATTTAACAACAGAGTGATTAGTAATAACGAACGCAGGTTAGTAATAACAATCAGCAAGAGTCTAAAGTCCAACGGTATCTTCCGGTCGAGAGACGGAAGTGAGATGGTCACCTGATCTCCTCAGAACTCTCTAGCACTGAAGATATCGTAGATATCGTAGAGAGATCAGTCCATTCTGATCAGAAGGTGGGTGGCCCCAACAGCCACCATACCCAGATTTAGCCGTAATAGTTTCTTTTCCCGCACTTCCCACTCTCCCTGATTCTTGCTCTCCTGTCACCTGCAATCATCAAAGTTGAAATGACAACTTAAGTCTTTCTAAATCGTGTTCTTTTATTGTCTTTTCACCTGACATATCTTTTCTCGTATTCTTTCGCGCTTAGTAACGCCTCAATGGAATTTTCGCTTATTTTTTTCCTTTTTTGGGAAGAAACTGTTAAATATAGCATATTTTAATTTAATTTTATTTTATTTTTTAAGCATTTCACCCGAAGCAAGGCGGGTGTGCCACAAGCATGCAAGGGGTTACAGAGAGTGGGAGCCATAGTCAAGAGGCATGAAAGAGGAAAGGATGAAGCGAAGGACAGGGAATAGATCAAGGCATCTGGAGATGTCGATTAACATTGCATTTGAATAATTGAAGATTATAGCTATCAAGGAAGCAAGTAAGAGGAAGGGAGTTCCCCAGATGGGAAGTGCGAGACATGAAGCTATTGGAGTAGAAGAGACGGCTACATTTAAAGTTTCGCCGGTGAAATGGCAGGACTGAAATGCCAGCCTAGTAGTACGCTTAAATTTATGCAATTTGGGAACTAGTGAAAGTAGCTCGTCGGAGCAGTTACCGTGAAAGTATTTGTAGAAAAGACAGAGGAAGGCGACGGCACGTCTGTGAGAAAGTGACTGTAGATGAGATGCCATATCAGAGCCAATCACATTGCATATCCCTCTCTGGTCCGAGGAGGAACAGCGGAGGCACCAGACCATATATGGCATATCCATGTAAGGGCGAATGGTTGATTTATACATTTGAAGGATGGACACAGGCGAGAAAAAACTTTCTGGCGCGACGGAGAACCAACTTTCCTTGCGGTAGATGAAGCTATATCCTCTCTTTTTCTTCCTTTCATGTCATCATTAAAAAACGCTTAATTGTTCTTCCTTACTCCATATCGTATCGCGAAATGAAAGATATCTTGAACGGCCATGATTCAAGATCTTTTGTTCTTTAATGCAAGTGCCTCCTGCTTCTCTATCTGACTGTTATCCTCATCCTGTTTTTTACGGTCACGACTTCCGGTTTTCTTCGTTACCTTTCTTGGAAATTCGAGCCGGGCCCTTCACATTCCTCTGACCGCATTCGGGTATTTTCTCGGCAGTGTTAGGGGATTATTTTGAGGTGGTTAATTCTGGTGATGTCTCATGATTTTATTATTTCCTCTCGGTAATGCAACTTCTGCCTTAGTTTAATTTGGTATAAACAATATCCTAGAAATAATAAATGAAGTCTACAACAGTGGGGATATACCGGGCGATCTCCGCAGATCTATTTTCATAGCACTGCCTAAGAAACCAGGCGAAAACGAATACGAGCTCCATCGAACAATCAGCCTAATGATCGACGACACAAAACCCATCATCCGTAAATAGAGCACGCAGCAGAATCAGGCCAGAGATAGGACAAGAACAGTGCGGGTTCGGCAAAGACACGGGAAACAAGGAACGTGATATTCATGCTCAGAATGTTATCAGAATAGCAATGCAGAAGGACGTGCACCTATGTTTTATAGACTATGGAAAGGCCTTCGACAAAGTACGTCACAAGGACCTACTAGAACTGCTCAGCAACCTTGATATATTCGCGAAAGATATCAGACTGATCAAGAACCTATACTGGCAGCAAATAGCATGCATGCGCATAGGGAACGAGTTCAGAGAATATACAAAAATAGAAAGAGGTGTAAGGCAAGGATGCGTCTTCTCGCCGGACCTGTTCAACCTATACAGTGAACCAATTCTGAGTGAATTGGAAACCCTACTGGAATTTAGCATTGGCGGTCATAATCTTAACAACATAAGATACGTAGATGACTCAGTACTGATAATAAACACGGAAAAGAAATTACAAAATCTCCTACAGAAGGTAGCGAAGGAGAGTGTGAAGAAGGGACTAAGCAAAAACTAAAAGAAAACAGAACCAATGCTCATCAGTAAAAGGATGAGCCCGAAATGCGATTGGCAGGTCGGGAACACTAGAATCAAGCAGACTCGGAAATTTAAATATCCGGGAAGCGTCTTGACAGAGGACAGTAAATGCGACACTGAGATCTGTAGACGTATTGGGATGGCCAAGGACGGATTCCAAAAATACGACAGAGTATCTATCTATCTATCTATCTATCTATCTATCTATATATATATATATATATATATATATATATAAATATATATATGTTGACCACTAAAAGCATCTCTCTCTCTCTCTCTCTCTCTTTGTATATATATATATATATATATATATATATATATATATATATATATATATATATATATACAATTGAATATACATAATACCCAACGTGGAGAGCACGACTCTGGGTTTCGGAGGAGAATTAATATATATATATATATATATATATATATATATATATATATATATATATATATATATATATATATATATTAAAATTTAAATTTGAATTTGGATTCAAAAATAAATAATATAACAAAGGGCTAACTTTCGTTTTTGTAACATAGTCATATGCCATGTGTGAGACACGCTTAGGCGATCATATATCTTTCAATACATGACTGACGAGGCAGACTTTCTTTCCCAGCAGTAGGTTTTCATTCCTTTCCCCCAAGGCTATAGAACCCAGTCTGTCCTGCTGGCGAGGAAGAGGACATGTTGGGATGGCTAAGAACACACACACACACACACACACACACACACACACATATATATATATATATATATATATATATATATATATATATATATATATATATATGTAAATAAAAAGAAAGAACAGTAAGATATATAATCCGGTGTTCTTATAGATATTTTTATTTTTACAAAATAGTGCTCAATGTAAATTTACAGAGCATTAATATTATAAATTAATTGATTTAAAATGTGGCTTTTCCGCTACACAGTTCTAACCATGTTTCAAAAATGGAAGGTTCAAATTTAATTTTGTAATTAAATTAATGACATTAGTTCAAGCGATTCGCTTGAGGATGAAATGTAAGTAATGTCTTTAATTTAATTACAAAATAAAATTTGGACCTTCCATTTTTGGAAACATGTTAGAAATGAATGTATGGAAAAACCATATTTTAAAAATCAATTAATTATAATATATATATATATATATATATATATATATATATATATATATATATATATATCTTCAGATCTCTTCATAACTAATCCAGTTCTTTCCACTACTAATCAGTCTCTATATTTCAATACATATTCTATCCATTGTCTTACAGATTTTCTGCCCTTCTATCTATCTATCTATCTATCTATCTATCTATCTCTGTTCATATCTATCTACCTATCTAATTTGGTTCATATCTTACGACGTCTGTATTTTCTCAGTCTATGTATGGATCTATATACCTGTCTACCTGTCTATTTCTCAAAATCCAAATTTGGTCATTTCTAACGCCTTTGTGGTTCTCTCTCTCTCTCTCTCTCTCTCTCTCTCTCTCTATCTATCTATCTATCTCTATCTATCTCTATCCTTCGATCTATCTATCTATCTATCTCGTTTTGGGCATGTCTCTCAATCTATCTGTCTGTCTGTCTACCCCCTGCCTATCTGCCTATCTATCTATCTATCTATCTATCTATCTATCTATCTCGTTTTGGGCATGTCTCTCAATCTATCTGTCTCTCCGTCTACCTCCTGTCTATCTATCTATCTCATCTATCTATCTATCTATCTATCTATCTATCTCGTTTTGGGCATGTCTCTCAATCTATCTGTCTGTCCGTCTACCTCCCTGCCTATCTATCTATCTATCTATCTATCTATCTATCTATCTATCTCGTTTTGGACATGTCTCTCAATCTATCTGTCTGTCCGTCTACCTCCCTGTCTATCTATCTAGCTAGCTAGCTAGTTATGAATCTATACCTCTCTCTATATATATATCTACCTAGCCCAGCCTTTTTATTTCCATCCCTCTGTGTGTATTTTTCCAAACTATTAAGCCATCTGGCTAAGCATCGATCATTGTCGCCAGAAGTCAAACAACAAATACTCCCTCTCCAACCCCAGGTTTCAACATGACACATCAAAAATGCCATTATCAAATATAACATCTGACATATGTTTTTCTATTTGCGTTTACAGGGAAGTCGACTAGCGCTCCCTCTTTCTTTTCGTGTCATCTCTCTCTCTCTCTCTCTCTCTCTCTCTCTCTAACTATATATATATATATATATATATATATATATATATATATAGTTTATTTTCGACACTCCGTGTATTTACGTATATCGTATCATGTTCCAATGGCTTATCTCTCTCTGTATTTTGTTATATTTTATAGACTTGTGTCACTAGTCATTGATAGTTTCGTCCTCAAAATATTCTTCAAAATGTAATCTTACGCCTCACTTAAGTTTAAGTCTACCTGTATGGTTATTTGTTAATAATGGCCAGTTCAATCCTTTGGTAACATATATTCAGATCTATCTATCTATCTATCTATCTATCTATCTATCTATCTATCTATCTATCTATCTCAATTGTTCATATCTATCTATCTCAATTGTTCATATCTATCTATCTCAATTGTTCATATCTATCTATCTATCTATCTATCTATCTATCTCAATTGTTCATATTTATCTATCTCAATTGTTCATATCTATCTATCTATCTATCTATCTATCTCAATTGTTCATATCTATCTATCTCAATTGTTCATATCTATCTATCTATCTATCTATCTATCTATCTATCTATCTCAATTGTTCATATCTATCTATCTCAATTGTTCATATCTATCTATCTATCTATCTATCTCAATTGTTCATATCTATCTATCTCAATTGTTCATATCTATCTATCTATCTATCTATCTATCTCAATTGTTCATATCTATCTATCTCAATTGTTCATATCTATCTATCTATCTATCTATCTATCTCACTGTTCATATCTATCTATCTATATCACTTTCATATCTCTCTCTTTATCTCTCTCTAGTTATCTATCTCTCTATCTATCTCACTGTTCATATCTATCTATCTATCTATCTATCTATCTATCTATCTATCTATCTAGCAATCTATCTCTTTATCTATCTCATTGTTCATATCTATCTATCTAATTTGTTTCATATTTGTCTACCTTTCTCACTGTTCATATCTATTTATCTCTCTCTCTCCATCTCTTTCTGTCTATCTCACTGTTCATTATCTATCTATCTATCTATCTATCTATCTACATCACTGTTCATATCTATCTATCTATCTATCTATCTATCTATCTCACTGTTCATATCTATCTCTCTATCTTTCTCTCTAGCTATCTATCTCTCTATCTATCTCATTGTTCATATCTATCTATCTTTCGCACTGTTCGTATCTATTTATCTATTTCTCTCTCTCTCTCTCTCTCTATCTCTTTCTATCTATCTCACTGTTCATTATCTATCTATCTATCTATCTATCTATGTCACTGTTCATATCTGTCTATCTTTCTATCTATCTCACTGCTCATTATCTATCTATCTATCTCACTCTTCATATCTATCTATCAATCCTTACTTCCTAATATTTTCGAAAAATTTAGTGTTTTGTCTAATTAAAAATTTGAACGTCACTTTTATTCACCTAACTTCTACGATTAGCGTCGATTGAAACTGTACAATGTGATAGTAAAACCAGTTTTCACATACAATTGTTTTACTTTGGAACAAACAAGGAAGGATAAAATAAACTTGATTCATTCCATCGAAAAGAGTTAAAATAAAACGACACCCCGTACATCATCTCTAATTCCAAGATGAAAAAACACTCCCGATATCACTTTTCATCCTCCGATTTCAATGGAAATTAAGTGGACCTTTGCTGCGATTGTTTAGAGAGCACTGATAATAAATGCAATGTCCCTTCAAGTCGAAACAGCTTCCATTATGAAGATCATTTCTACATTTACTTTGACAGAATCCCTCAATAAACGAAACGCATTGGTGTAAAAGATCTTTCTCACGTTATTTTTCTAATTAATATTGTCCTTTACGTATGAATATATATATATATATATATATATATATATATATATATATATATATATATATATATAAAGAAATATAGTCTTAAGGTGTGCTGTATTTATGGAATAAAGTGCTCAATATCAGAGATAGAGCGTGTATAAATATAAAAGTGAACATAGAAGTCAACACTTAGAGACGACAGTCTGTTTCATGCTATATACAATCGTCAGGCCACGTATGCTGTTATTTTTCTCGGCTATTTATATATATACGGGTTAGTGGTGCATTGTGGGTATTCTATTATGGCGGTTATTTTACCGGAAGTCGTTTGTTTATTTATTTGGGTCAAATTATTTTGCTTGTTTTTATGTCTTATTTTATTTATTTATTTATTTATTAACGTAGTAAAAAATTGTTTATATCACTTATTTAACAGTTTTGTTTTGGTTTGAGAATTTAATTAAATCTATTTGTTCAATTTTGGGGTTGGTTGTTGTAGTTCATTCTAATTCTTATTTTGGCGGGAACAGTTTTTAATTTGGGATTGGTTTGTCTATTTATTTACTTGGATGAATTTAGGTCAATTTATATATATATATATATATATATATATATATAGTCGGGTTTCGACAGTAAAAATTTACCAGTAAAATAATTTGTTCATTACCATATTTGGTATAAACGCAAACACTTTAAAAAAGAAATTTAAAATCAAACTCAGCGTTGCTTTGGCGCGTTCAAAAACCAATATCTCATTTTCAATAGCATTTCGGATACAATACACATATATTTTCGATGTCCTCTTATTACTAAGAGAAAAAAAACAAGAACAACATCTATTATATACCTGAAGATGTCTGTAGGAACAGACGAAAGCTTGTAGTAAAAATAACAACTAATACGGCAGAAATTTATATAAACAAGGATCAATTCATTCATAACGGATCTGGAGGTTTTTGTGTACTATTTGAATTGTTTGCGAGATGGATGTCTCGCCATTTAAATCATTAACCTTTGCATTAGTTTTGTGTGAATAATTCATGTATATGTATATATATATATATATTACAGAAAAAATTCTCAAGATGGGATAGTCTATTACAAGCTGTTCTGTACACGGCTATCATCAGTCCCTAAGTGTCTGTCTCGGAGCATTGTTTTAAATTTATTTTCAATGTCAGTCCTCCTCTGGTAGACGCCTTGTTAATGAGAATGTGTTTGTGATAGCGATTGGTGGGGGGCGTAAGATATCTTATCCCGGGTGAATCGGTCTGGGGTTTATTATTTATGACCAGAAACTTTGTTGTTTGTAGTTTAATACCTGTTCCTACTATGAGGCATTTCTTATACAAGACCCGAGTGTGTTTTTGGGGATTCACAGTAAATAGTTTTTGTACTACAAGTGTCCAATATTATTAATAAGCGATGGGGGATTTAAACTTAAACCCGTTAAGATTTAAGATTAATATAAATTAATTTATAGATTATAGGTAATACCAGAGCACCCAATAGAATAAATCATGCCGTCTAACATACTTATATGCGTACACATCTTCATACATACATATATATACATTTACATATACATACATACGCACACATATACATATGCTCTGTTTATATATATATATATATATATATATATATATATATATATATATATGCTCTGGTATAATAAATGCATCGAGCTCTCTGTGGATCAGATTTAACAATTAATATTACTAGGATCCACCCGTGTTATATACCAACGGATCGATTACCTCTACTTTTATATATATATATATATATATATATATATATATATATATATATATATATATATATATATATATATTTGAACAATAAAAAAATATTAAAAATTAAAATCTTCAGACACACTGGGTTGTATATTAATATTCCTTCGTTTTATTATTATCTCATTTAGATACCTCGAATAGCTTCGGCCAACATGGCCATCATCAAGAGAAAAATAATTTTCTGCTTACTGGTAGCAGTGAACTATATATATATATATATATATATATATATATATATATATATATATATAGGTCGATCACTTGTATATTCTTGCTTGATCCAGCTTCTAGAGGGAGCTGCTTGGGGAAAGAAAACGTGGCTCTTGGGCACAATCCATTGAGTTATGTATACTTGAATGAGTATCACCAAGGAAGTTAGTGATTAGCGGCGCTATATCAAGTCTAATCAGTTTCTTCATTCTTACCGAGGCCCGTTGGTACAGTTGGTATGACGCTTGCATTGTAACATAACTGTCCGGTTTTGATTTTCTGTAGAGGATGCGTATTGCTGATGAATCCCAAATAGAACGAAACAGCCGTCCAGTTTTTTCTGCATTCTGTTTTGGATTCTTTATACTCGATGAATTACTATAAAGGATTATTCTAATCCCCGCAAAACGTTTATCACTTGTATATCCATGCTTGATCAGCGAGCGCCTTTTTGAACAAGAAATGGGCCGTTAGTTCAGTGGTAAGACACTTGCGCTGTGTCGTAACGGTTCAGGTTCGATTCTTGGTAGTGGATTCGTGCAACTGATAAGTCTCTAATAGGGCGAAATGGCCGTACAATGCTTCCTGCATTCTATTGAGTATTCTTCTCGACTCGATAAATTACTACACATGATTATTCAAATATCCTCAAAATTTTTTTATTATTTTTTTTTTTTTATTTATATATATATATATATATATATATATATATATATATATACAAATACAATTATATAATTGGTATATACGGAATGAATTCAATAACCAACAATTACTATTCTTAAAAAGTGCTCAATACAAAGTAGAGCAGATATAATTATTATTTATAAAAAAAATTATAACATAAGTATGTTATAAAATCACTATAAAATAGCCATTTTGTTTCAACATTTTTCTGTGTCTTATCAAGTGATGATGTTGAAGATAAAATAAATGGTTTTTAAAAGTTTCAGATTAATTAACGATCCTACACTAGGGGGAAACATTGTTACAAAATTTATTGATTATTCTAGCTTTCATTTATTTTATCTTCAACATCATCACTTGATAAGACACCGAGTGTGTTGAAACAAAATGGCTATTTTTATAGTGATTTTATAACATACTTATGTTATAATTGTTTTATAAATATATATATATATATATATATATATATATATATATATATATATATATATATATATATGAGATCTGTATTGGGACTGTTGTTTATGGTAACGGTGCCACAGTACGTAGAGGGAAGTCGATTGGTACAGATTGACATTGTCACTCAAATACACATTATAACTTTTTTAATAAATTCCGTTGTTTGTAGCAGTGCTTGGAAGGAACGTGCGTAGAGTGTGGTCGTCTCAGTACAGAAAACCATTTTCAAAACAGCCATAACAGGTAACAAAACAATAATTAGATATACATGAAAAAGAAAGAAAGGGTAAAAATCTGTTATTTTTAATTTTTGTGTTGTTTGTTTTACATTGGTTAAGCAGACTTCCTGTGCATTTGTCTTGTCAAGTCGCCATGGCAATTTCGGTAGATTAGCTTGCACCACTGGGTGTGTGGGAAATAGGCTGCAAAATTGAAAATACGCCCCTCCCATACAAGTCTACGTAAATCTTGTAATTGTAAGAAGACAGAATGCATTGTTATCAACCATAAAGACAGATCATGGCGCAGGCTAAGCATAAGGGCGCGAAAACAAACAGTTGTTAGAATGGGGTATTTTAATCGTTAGTCTAGTATTGTCGCAATGAAAGTTTCACAAAGAAATAATAAAAAAAAAACGCAAATGAGTAGCGAAATATCGCTGTAACAAATTAAACGAAATATAGCGCTATATGTCCGCCAATGTAAACCTTCCCCCACGAACGCTCCACAGAATACATACGTATTTAATAATCTCCCAACGAAAGTAGGATGTGTCACAAGTTCGTTTATTTTATTTATTTGTATGGAAGGCTCATATGCGTACATATGAGCCGCGGAAAAAATTGCTCCGTCCTCATAAACACTGGGTGCCGTTTCTCTTTAAAAAACGAGAACAACAGATACTACGCATTGATCGTGACCCAAACACCTTGAAAATGCTCATTAAAAACAAGGGACACGACGTGCTATGTAATATCTAATCTCCTACGGATCAGTGGACGTTTGACAGTTTCGTCGTAGATATATATAGAGCCTGGAAGAGACGTATATTTAATTCTGACGAAGAATGTTTTAGTTAACAAGGCCAGAACATGTAAAGAGCGAAGACGTTTTACGAATACAAAAAACTGATCCTGATATTAAGTAAGAGACACCTGAAATCCAATGAGAAAAGATGACTTGGAGAATTTAACACTCACAGGACGCATGGATAGCTTGAGAAGCGGTACATTTGGAATTAACTAATAGCAGAACAAAAAACTAGGTAAAACATGAGAGAAAGTTTTGTAAAGCAAGAATCGGCCATGTCCTGAAAAAGATGGCGTAGAAAGGATTTTTTTTGACATTCTGAAACAAGTTTCAATAGATGTTCGTTATATTTTTTAAGTTAGTGTTCATGCAATCTAAAATTCAAAGGCCACTCAAAGCAGTTACTTACTGGAATGTTAATAACTGTAAATTATAAGTATATGTAGGATAGATAAAATTTGAC